CAATTCAACTAATTCTTCATTACTACTTAAATTCAAGGCAACGGGTTACCTTGGTTTTTTGTTTACATTCATAAACCCAAAAAAAGCACATTATTTGTTGTTGTTTTGCATAGGGGTCTATAAATCTCGGTAGCTACGATAAATAAAATTGTTCTGTGCATTTACTTCCATGCATCGCTTTCTCTGTATTGTTTGATAAACTTTAGTTATCAGGCTCCTCTCCTGTGGAACCAGCTCCCAGCTTTAGTCCATGACGCATACACTTTGTCTACTTTTAAGAATAGGCTTAAAACATTTTTATTTGATAGGGCCTATGGTTAAAATCTGATGTTAGCCCAGATAAGGACAAGTGGGGGAGTAGAGGGAGGTGGAGTGTACAGTCGGTAAAGACGGCTCTCCCTTGCCCTGCCTCCAACATGCCTCCATCTAAATAGGATAAATGATCCAGAGTTATCTCTGTAGTTATGCTGCTATAGGCTTAGACTGCTGGAGGACACACTGACCACTTTTCACACTCTACTGCTTTCTTCTACAATCTGCTCTTTAACTGTACTATTTCCTGCCATTTCAGCTGTTAACTTTATTTTCTCTAAGTGTTTTTCTCCCCAGAAGAAGCTACAACGGTGTTCTGCTGAGCTGTGGTGGCCTCATGGAGGGGGCCATCGTCTAGCACACTGCTGCTAACCACTAAAACATTCTCCCTCTCCTGATAGTAACTTTTTACTTTCCTTGACGTTGGATGTGATACTACTAGTTTACCCGTTTAATTATAGATCCACTAGGATAAATACAATAAAGTGTATCTTTTACCAAATAGAATATTTACTAAGAAATTACTATATAACTATAGACACATTACTTTGTGTGTGTGCTGCAGCATTAGGACTGAAACAGGAATGGGAACCTAAATATGAAAACTTTATAGATGTTAAGGCACGGGCTGGAAACGGGTGTGCTTTCACTTCATCTGCAAGTCAAAATGCCTTCAAAACATTTCTAAAACTAATTGGATTTACGATTAATCAAGTCGCTCGCAGGATCAAACGTAGTGATCGTCTTTAGATGTAGACTTCTAATAATTGTGGAGATATATAAGTATATATTTTTGGGTTACAACCGCACCAAGTGGGTGAAATTGAGCTTTTTGCTCCATGTAAGGGGACCACAAAAATGCCCATGATTTACCAGACATAACCTTGTAATTTCATGATTTCAAGTTTGAAATTTATTATGAACATATCCCACAAGGTGTGCCCATTTTTAGCTCATTTTCAAAATATGGCTTCAGGGTGTGATTATAAACTTCTGTACCAGGTTTTGACGAAGTCCATCAACAGGTCATCAAGAGGTCATGTGTCACACCCTGTCCTGTCTCCCTGTTTGGTTCAGCCTTGTGTCTCGTTAATTACTCCCATTTTCCCAATCACCTTAGCTCCCGGTCCTCCTGTATTTAAGCCCCGTCTGTTCTATGTCCTGTGCCGGTTCATTGTTTCATATTCCAGAGTGCTCCATATTAAAATACTGTTTGAAAACGTTCCTACCTGTCTGCCTGTCTTCCTGCCGCGTCTGGATCCTCGCCTCAGCTCCGCTCCACTCAGCAGCGCGTCTGACATCATGACACTAGACAGTGACCCTCTAGTGTCTAGCCTCTTCACCTTTTCCACCGGAGTCCGATTGTTCTTGTGGTTGTTACGTTTTACCTTCTTCAGGGAGGGGAATCCAGGGAGGCAAGAAGGAACTTATGTAAAGAAAAACAAATTTATTAAAACAGAGGATAACACAAAACCAAGGGCTGGAAATCCTAACAGCAATACACTAACACAGCCCATAAAACCCAGAGAGTCCAATGTTCGTATAAAATAAAGCAGGAGACTACGGCTCAGGTCTTTTAACTGGCAGCACCAAAAGAAAACCTATCAGACCCAAGTGTCCAACAGGATGGTACAAAGGAAAGAAAGATGTGGGATGGATTAACTAAAAGACTCGGGGTTATTTCCAAAACCTAAAGAAGCTTTCACCTTCTACATAATAATTCAGCAACTTAACCACAAAAGACTCTCAAACTCTAACAGTGGCCACTGTAGTTCTGTTAACAAGAGTAATTACTAAACCCAAAGATAGACTTAATAAAAGCTGAGGAATTATTTTCTTTCAAGACGTTTAAACTTCTAAAACCCTGAAACCAGCTCAAAGGGAGTCTACTTGGTTACGAGTAGCTCCCAGAATGAAAGTTCCTCCAGCCTTTTATCCTTTCCAGATCCAGAGAAAACGATTAGTCCAATTGCTTCCACCTGAAGAACTGTGGAGGGATCCACTAGTGATGAGGCTGCCGGTGCTCATTGTGGTTTCCATGGTTACTGGACAACAGCATGGAGGCAGCCATCTTGTATCTGGTTCTGGTGTTGTCACTCCAAAAGAAAACAAAACCAAAACAATGGGAAGAAAACTACCAAAACAGGGGGAAAATTCTGACTAAACAGTAATAATAATAATATGACCA